AAAAAAAGAATCCAGTCACCTGAGAACCAGACCTTTACATTCAAAATTAAGAGCAAGATTTGGGGTTTCAGTAAAGAAAAAGAAAATAGGGGTGTGTGTGTGTGTGTGTGTGTGTGTGTATAGTTTCCATAGCATTTTATCTTTGTTTCATCACTTAGCAGAGTGCCGTAGGTATTCAGTGTTCACTGGTTCAAACTGCATGTTTACATTTCCTGATCTCCATTCCCCCTGCAAACAGAATTAGTCACCCACTCCTGTGATACCTTTTTGTACCACCACTACAGACTTCTATCACATTCTATTTGTTTCATTTAATTTCTATTTCCCCTTACTAGATTGTAACAATCTAGATGGCAAGCCCATGTCTAACTCATCTTTGTATCACAAACATATGCAAAGTACCCAATGTATAGTAGCTTCTCAATAAATTTTGGACTGGGTGAGTGAATGAAACAATGTGACGAGAAGGTAGGGCTATGTCTATAAAACACAGATTTTGCCTTCTTGGGCTGCTTTTGTTTAGTTCACTGAGTACCTCCTCTATGCCATAGAGGAGACATAAGTCCCTGTCTTTAAGGAGCTGAGAGCCCAGAAAAAGGCCCCTCCATGTCCAACTCCTCTGTTCTGTAGCCTAGAAGCAGAGTTACCTCAATCCTGTTGAACTCATCAAAGCAGGCCCATGCTCCAGCCTGGGCTAGCCCCTTGAAGAACTTCCCCATGGCTTTGTAATCCAATCCATCTGAGCAGTTGAACACCACACACTAGAGAGAGGGAGGATGTAGGTGGCATTCAGGATAGATTCCATCATATCTGAATTACCCAGTGCCCATTAATAGGGGTGACGTTCCTCTCTTCTTGTTCTGCTGGAGAATCTGGGGCCCACTCTACTTGTTACACAAAACTGTCTTGAACTTCATGGTCACTTTCCTGGATAGGGGCATACGGAGAGCAAGGAAAAGAGGTGGACATAGACGGCATTACCCTACCTGCTTAGCCAAAGCTTTGGCCAGATCTTTGGTGGTTTCTGTCTTGCCTGTCCCAGCTGGACCTTCTGGAGCTCCTCCAAGGTTCAGCTTCAAAGCTCCCATCAGTGTCCTAAGGGAAAGAAAACAGAAACTTACTGCCTGAGGCCTAAGACACAGAAAAGAAACTGGCTTTTTGTTTATTTTGACTCATGCAAATAGATTAAAATTTCTCTCTGATTATATGACCAATGTATTGTCATTATAAAAAGTTCTGTTTTACCGAGCATTGTAAACTCAGAGCCTGGCACAGAGCCTGGCACATAGGTGGCACCCATAAACATTTGTTTGAATATATATACATACATAAATGAATCAAATAAGAGTAAAAAATACTCATAAACTCCAACATTCCAGAGATTACCAGTGCTAATGGAATGGCGAAAATAAATATATTTCTCCTACTAGAATATGAACTCGTGAGTTCAGGAATCATACTCGATTCAGTTCCACATCCTCAGCAAACTAATACAGTGCCTGGCATGTAGTAGATGCAAGATAAGTTTTAGAAATGAATGATGTGGTAACTGTGGCTTCTTGGTGTGAATCTCTATAATTTCGGTTAACATGCTATTGTCTAATCGTCTGAATATGCCTCCTTCCCCCATTAGATTTAGGGTTCCTCGAGATCATGCATGATACATAGGAAAGTTACAGAAGTGGTTGTCGAGTAATGAGTGGAAGAAATGAATGAATGAAGAGCAAAAATCACAGAACACAGAAAACACGCGATTGAGGATTCTGAAAGGAAAAAGCACTCTCAATATTATTTTCGTAATCTAAAAAAATTCCACTGTAAGGAGATATACAAAAGCAAAGAAAACCTAAACATCACGAAATCGACAAGTTCACTAATTCCAGATTTCTAATGTGATAAATTCTAAAGAAAGCATCAAGCACTTTGCTGAGCACAGAATGACCATAGTTTTTCACGGGACTGGCTTGCAGAGCATGGCGAGTCCTTGTCTGGGTCCTTGGCCTCACTCCTTGTCTATTTCTTGGCCATGGGACCTCCAGGCAACATTGTGATTCCTGCCATTGGAGAGTTTTCTACTCAACTATCATGTCATTTTCATGGATATGCACCAACTTCCAGCTTGTTGGTTCAGAGGTATTAATTTGCACTAGGATTCCTTCTGGGTTCTCATTTCCAGCCTAAAGGGCTAGTTTCCACACCCATCTGAGGGACCATGATGACTAGGGGCAAAACTCTAAAATCTGAGAATCTGAAATGTAGAGGGTGAAGGTAATGAACCCAAGACACCCCTAGCCTTTCTCCCCAGAGTCTTTCCCATTCCTCTCAGGTCTGGGAGCCCCAGTGTTCACCTGTAGCAGCGGTCAGTGAGGGGTGTAATCACCAGCCGGGGCGAGTTTCCCAGGTACTCATAGCCATAGAAGGCTTCCGTGGTTATCATCCGCACATGCACATCCCTTGCCTCCCAGTAGTAGCGCAGCTGCGAGATCCACTGGAAATCATTCAGATCGAGCCGGGGCGAGTTTCCCAGGTACTCATAGCCATAGAAGGCTTCCGTGGTTATCATCCGCACGTGCACATCCCTTGCCTCCCAGTAGTAGCGCAGCTGCGAGATCCACTGGAAATCATTCAGATCAGAGACCCTGTCCTCGGATAACTTGGCCACCACATCGCGAGCTGTTGGGCCACAGATGCAGAAACACACACATACAGAACCATCAGAACTCTCCCCTCTCCAGAGACTCCTCAAGTTGGAAGACGACGTTATCAAGGCCACCTCTCACTCTCCATAAAATGTTAGGCTCTACTACCCTCCTTCCTCTACTTCCTACCTGGAGGCAGCGACATCTGTTAAAGCTAGTCTTTGCTTCTTCCAAGGAGCCAGGTAGAGAGTCTGCTGCATCTCAGACAGCACAGTAGAGGTATTAAATGTGCATCCTCTGAAACCAGACTGTCTGGTTCAAATTCTGGTTACACCACTAA